CTCTACTAATAGTATATATATATATATATATATATATATATATATATATATATATATATATCGAAAAAGTTTAAAAAACGCTTATAAACGAAATTGAATAGTGTTTCGCCGCGCCACGAACATCTTATGTCCGTGGCAGTTTATTGAACGGAGCCGCAACGGAGAGCGTGTGCCCGTGGCAGTTGCCGCATGAATATTTGACCGTCACGAACATGCTATGTCCGTTGCGGACCACAACAGACATGCTAGGTCCGTGGTGGTTGTTTTATCCACGCCGTCCGATTTTTTCTGATGGTGATGAGCATATGGGCAAAAACACTGTTCATTTTGGCCCATAGGCATTGTGTAGTGGCTTCCATACATATATATATATATATATATGAGAGGGAGAGAGTTTTTTGTCACGAGAGAGAGCGAGAGAGAGAGTGATGAAATGGGGAAGGACAACACAATCTTGGTAACATAAGGGGAGACAAAAATAAAGCATTGATTAATGAGTAGACTAGTGGCAATGCAAGAGTGCTCCATGTGTAAAGCGAAGGGGTGGTAAAAGTCAAAAAATTAAAAATGGTCAGAGAAAAATGATGGTGATTATATTTATAAATTATAATCAAGAAAAGGAGAGCATTCTGCGTGTAGGTTGCTTGAAAGCAAAGCCTTCTATATTTTGGCTTGTTGGAATTAAACCATTTGTGGGTAGTCCCACATGGATCCCGCACATTAATAAAAGCAATAACAGATGCTTGTCAAAAGAATATGAAGCAGTAACACATTTGAAACCATAAACCCAAGAGAGAGAGTACTTCAAAAGGGTGGTACTACGGGGGTGCCACGACCTGCCTAGGCAGGCGCCTTAGTACACCCACCTAGGACCCACCGCCTAGGCCATGCCTAGGCGGTTTGAGAAAATGGCCACCTAGGCAGCCTGGCGGACATTGGGTAGGGGCCACTTGTATAATACTTTTAGACGAGGACAATATTTTGAATAGTTACCTAAAATACACTAGGACTAAAAGTTACTTTCATTGACTAAGGGTGATGTTTGTGTAGGAAAAGGAAATAATTCATAAGGGAGGTAGCCTAACAAAACCCATAATTATATGAATAAAACACTAGCCATATAAGCTAAAGTGAACACTCATGAAACAAGGCCACGCCATAAAAAATAACTCAAAAGGTTTTCTTTAAATATGCAACAAAAGAGAGTACATTTGTGTGACCCAATGTATTCTAGCTCTGAACAAACTTGGCCATAGTCAGACTTTGAAGATGCAGCTTAAATACTCTTGGAGGGCTTCTTGTTGATGTGCACCTATGGTACTGGCTCATTGGCATCCATTTGACAAGATTGGTAAAATGGATACATTGACCCAAAAGTATTCTAGCTCTGAACAAACTCAGCCATAGTCGGACTTTGAAGATGCAACTTAAAAACTCTTGGAGGGCTTCTTGTTGATATGAGCCTATGGTAGTTGCTCATTGGCATCCACTTGACAAGATAGGTAGATATCTTCTCACTTATGATGGCTTTGATGTGTCTCGTAGCTTGGCGCGAACTCTTATCAAAAAGCAAATCGAGGCTTCATTCAAACCATATGAAATGGCTCGTATATTCTTAGCAAGAACAATGGGGGCTGATATATGCATTATATGTATATGGGAGCACTTGCAGAGCCACATTCCCGCTCGTGTGCACGTGCACACACGTGCACGCGTGCGCGTGCGTGCCCATGCACACACTCGTGCACATACAGAGATGCACAATGAGAACTTTATAGTCTGAAAATCCATACAAAATTGAGAAAAATAGTATCATAGGGCCATAATAAGATCCGAACTTTGGAATTACTCCAGTCCCCACGGTGAACCAGGTAAGATGGGGCAATTTAAAAAAAACCACATTAAGAGCCACCTGATTCTGACAACCTGGGCAATATAAGGGACCGAGGTTCAAGCCTGAGTCAGCAATCCCAAATTGGCCCATCAGTTTTCAATCGTTGAGGCAAATTATCTTGGAATAGAAATTTCAATGACAGCTCATTTGCTAGAACATATTAATAGAGAAAAAAAAAGGCATAAAATAAAAACTGTCGAAGTTCAAAATTCAAAAAAAAATTGAAACAACCCCTGCAGATCTTCAAACCAGAATTGCGGCCCCATTTTCAGTATGCAATCCCCAATCCATAGGGATGAAGATCCCTTTTAATCAGGGTTCGAGATCCCTTGATGATGGGGGACAAGCTCTGCCCACGCTCTCACTCCAAGATTGCTTGAGTCGGATTCCGAGCGGGGGTCGCCAACCCCCAAAAGAGCTTCTAGCATCTGAGTGGCTTGGCTCTCATGGTTTTTAAGATTGTCATTTTAACAGGGCATTGAGATAGACATAAACAAAGAAAGATAAACCAAAAAGGTTTGTGCGACTTTAGATCATTAGCATCTCTTTATTGAGTGACAGACATGATACACATAGGAACAAACAATCTGGCATGGTAGAATTGCCACACTTAAGAGAATTAGCATAGAACAGTAACAAATCTCTAACCTAGCAAAGCATTCAAGTGTATCATGACTTGGAAAAGAAGCTTCTAATGAAATGACATGTCATATATCCTTCTTCATAAAAACAAATAAAAAGTCTTACCAATTATCCAAAAGAAAAAAGGAAAACAAATTCAAACTCAAGACTTTTTGCAATTAAGAAAGTGACCGACCTTGGCTTCATTCATGCGAGCATAGGTATCTCGAGGGCCACCTAAACATGCGCCACAATTAGGACTGGCTGGAGTGTCACACCCAGCTTCTTCAAATATCTGAGAACAAGTCTTGCCACCCGACCCGGGAACAGGAAGGCCATATAAATCCATCCAAACCTGACATAGGAAACAAATTCACAGATTCATACAAATTACTTCCACAGTTTATATTGAAAGCAGAGTAAAATGATATTCAAACCTTTTGAGTAGCAGGAACAAGAAAAGTTGGCACTTTGACCTTTTTTCCCTGTGTAACGCATTAAACCTCATGAGTGAAATATACATCTAGTCAGTGAGCAATTGTTTTGGTACGATGAATTATGGAAAGAAAAAGATAGGAAATGTGTCTATCTGATACTAACATATGCATTTGCAATTTTTTCAACATAAATGGAGACCTCAAAACCTGATCTCTTTAATTTAGAACAAAGCATCTATAGAGGATAGGCATATTCTTTTGTCCAACAGAAGTTCTATCAGAAAAATAAGATAACATAGAGACAAAATAGAAACTACATAAAAAGTTGATTCTTTTGCAGACCATGGTAACCAACATACACCTACAGATAATAGATAAATTCAGTAGGGGGGTTTCTCAAGGCACTAAAATCTCCATGTGTGACTATTTAAATGGAGAAACAAATTGCAAGAGTAAAATAGTCCATAAAGTCAATCAGGGCTTTGTTCAAATAGTGGAAAGAGTGAATAAGAGAGATCAAGTGTTCGCTCCCAAAACCAAGCCGGCCTATTAAAAAAGAAAAGGCCCAGAGCCCCAGACAGTGCTTTTAGGGAATAATAATGGAAATTTCACAAAAGCAAGTGTCCCAGAATAAATAAAATGGGAAAAACAAAGAAACACTCATAATGACAAGTTTTGAAGTCTAGATTGATTAACTTCATGTTGCAATGCACCAAATGCAAAGCAAAGCCATAAAACTTGTAAAAATAAAAGAAGTAAAATCTTTGGAACATGGAACAATTCAAATCTCTTTACCGAAGCTAAGAAAATCTTAGCTGCAGCCAGGAAATCTTCAGTCTTTCCACCTGTGCAGGAGCCTATATAAACCCTGTCTATTTTCACATCCTTGCACTCCCTTGCTAGAGCACGGTTGTCGGGAGAATGGGGCTGCACAAATAAGTTAAAAAATTTATTCAGGTTCATCACAATAGACTTCCTAGAGTAATAACTCTTTTGAAAAATGATACACTAGTCATAGGGGCAGAACAAATGGTGCAATAGAGCTGTTATGGAATCTTAGTTTCAAAAGATTTAGTACGAGAATGTTCCCATGACTTACCTTAGCAACAACAGGTTCCAATTTGGAGGTATCGAATTTGTACTCATGTAGAAACCTGAATTCCATGATAAAATCAGCCATTCATATAGATACAATACTAATACAAAATCTACAAAGAACTCATCAAAGTTATCAAAACTCATTCAAGAGATTGGAATGTGAAGGATTTACAAGAGCATCATCATCGTCATCATCATAGCCTTTTCCCAATTATTTGGGGTTGGCTACATGAATCCTGGTCTACTAGTCTGCTCTATTAAATGTCATAACCTCAGTGAGACCATAAGTTCCCATATCTTTTCGGACTACTTCCAACCATATCCTTTTTGGCGTACCCCTTGCCCTTTCAATCCTTCCTCTTGAACTAACTCGCAACTACTAACAGGTGTTGTACTGGTTCGGCACCACACATTGCCAGCCCATTGAAGTCTACTCTTTCTCATCTTATCGCTGATTGGTGCCATACCTAAATTTTCTCAAATGGATTCATTTGAAATTCTATCCCTTCTTGTCTTGCCATCCATCCATTTCAACATCCTCATCTCCGCTACGCTCATTCTAATGGTTTACTATTTTTTGTCTGCCCAACATTCAGCTGCATAGAGCAAAGCTGGTCTCACAGTTGTCCTATAGAACTTGCCCTTCAGCTTTGTTAGTATGTGGTGATCACATAAAATTCCAGTTGCACATCTCAACTTCATCCACCCAACTCTAATTCTGTATGCAACATCTTCCTCAATTTCTCCATTTTCTTGGATTATCGACCCAAGATATTGAAAGTGGGGTATTTTTTGTACTTCTTGGCCGTTAACTACTTCCTCGTTTCTACTCCTACTATTACTAAACATGCGGGATTTACAGGAGCATATAAACTCCTAATACTCAAAAATATTAGTCCCTCAAATATCCTAGAGGCTCTAAGCCACTGGATCCCAGCTCCTCAATTTCCCACATCTTCTAAAGAAGACCCTCAAACCAAAAAATTTCATAACTGAATTTCCAAAGTTCATTCATAATTAGACTACCAATAGGAGCACACTCCAAAAGTTTGGCCACTCATGCACTGAGTGGAACGTGAACCTACCCCAAGATAAAACATGTAACATTGTTGACCTTGCTTAAACCATTTCATAAGATCTCTCATGAACCTTGAGTTTAGACCTATAAAAGTCTACTACTGCTGATGTTCTAGTGAAGTCGTTCATGGCCTACATGTCAAGTTGGCTGCCATGACATCTAGTGTGCGACATGGACTTGGAAAAGAAAAATCCATTCCCACCATTCTCCAAATCCTGACTTTAACTGCTCAAGAGTGACTTCTCCATCGCTTCAACACCAACTTACACCCCTCATTAAGCAAGGAGAATCATGATTGGGGCTGAGAATGGGTGGAGCTCGGGCAGGGCTTGGGGTGCACCAGACACGGCCCGGGCCCAGCCAAAGCTTTTGTTTGGCTGGGGTGGGCCTGAATCTACATGTTGGTCAGGCTAGGGCCCGTACTGAATATGTCTTATGGCCGGGCCAGTGCCCATCCTGAATTATACTATTGAATCCTGCCCACAAAAATGAAACGGCTGGGCTCCGGAAAGCAGATCAACCACCCAAACAACACCATAATATTCGATGTCTAAATAACAAAACTCAAATGACTAAAATACCTCTAATTTCCCATAACACTCAATGTCAAAAAAACATACCTCAAATTACTAAAATACCTCTAATTTTGTTGACACCTTAACTCCCTCCCACCCAAACCCCCCACACCACAACACCCCAAAAATTCCCTCCCTCCCAAACAACCATGTAAACGGTCTATGTCTAAAAACATATGTCACATGGAACTGGCTCAACCACCAATCTTGAGCCCATCAAAGAAAGAAAAAAGACTATCCTCATATTTTGGCAGGGAGTTCTAGTTTGAGAAAGGCAGTTCCAGAGAGAGCTGAGGCTTGGTTAGTATTACTAATTGGAAGAGAGAGAATGATTGGTTAGGGTTTCAAATTTAGGGGTTTTCGTTTGTTTTTCTTTTTTGTTTCTTGCCTTAAATGGACTTTAGAAAGGTTATGGTTTTATATAAACGTTCAAAGGCTTTAGACCTATAATTTATGGACTACATAAAGGGTGTAAGATTATATAAAAGTCCATAGGTTTTAGACCACTAATCTATGGATCATATAAAGTTTGTAATCCATAGTATATGGACCAGTGGTTTAAAAAACGGATCGGTGCCCCAGATTGGGCACCCCAAAAACCCATCCGGATCTGTGAATCAGCGATCCGGTTCGAGAATAGGCCGAATTGGTCGGATTAAGCCGAAAAAAATCCAAAATAATTATTAAAATTCATTATAAATGTTGTTTTTTAGGAATCCAATAGGACATGGGGGTACTACATTATTAACTTTCATTTTTTCATCAATATGCGAGCATTGAGATGTTCTTTCCCTGTATGAACTTATGTTAATCATTCAACATATAACTATTAATTATAATATTACAGTAAATGTGATTAAAAAAATATTAGAAAATGCTTCCATATTATATGATTAAAATAAAAAATAAAACCCCCAATAAATTCTAATATTAGATATTAAAAAAATTCAAAAGAGCTGTACTCAAAAAAATGAAAAATAAAGATATCAAAATTCAAAAATAAAAAAAAATCATATCGGCAACATGCACAATAGCTACAAAAAATAAAAATAAAATATGGTAATAAAGCCTATCGAAAAAACTATTTTACTAATAAATAGCAAAAACTTTTATATGGTTTTTTTTAATTTGGCACGTTAATTAATTTATTTAATTAAAAATATGTTGATAAGGCTCATTTAATATGACACGTTAATTTGGAAACATAATGTGCTCATTAATATGCCACACTAAAATTCATAAATTAGAGGACATGCTCATTTAATATGACATGCTTCAAAAGCATGGTCATTTAATTGACACGCATACTTCAAAAGTTAGTATAAAGGAAGGAGGTTAATTAATACCGTAACTTCAAAAGCATGGTCATTTAAAACATAGCACGCATAATTCAAAAGCATGGCACCTAAAAAAGAGCACTAACGCTCATGCAGGTGGTTGACTGGCCCGCTGAAAAAAGGTGCAAAATATAGTCCCACATCGACAATTTTTGGATGGGTAAGTTAATATAAACTAAGGAGGTTACCACTTTTGTTTGCGCGAGCTTGACGCGTGGAGGAGCCTGGTGCACTTTTCAACTCGTCGAGTCACCACGTCAGTGGTTTAAAAAACGAAGCTGGATCGGGCACGTAGCCGATTTGTGACGTATACGTGATCTATGACATCATACACAGTACAGAATTGTCGGTTCTTCTCTAGAATCGGACGATTCAACGTTTTACGCTAGAATCGACACTGGGGAACCAATTCTGGTGTCAAACCGGACGAGTTCGTTGCAACTTGCCGATTTTTAACTCAGTGATATGGACTATACACTCTAATACAAACTTATAGAGCAAGAAGCATAGAATATCAAAGATTATGATATAATACAGCCTATAATCTTTAATATTTTGGACAGGGCCAATCTGATCCTGGTCCAGCCCAAAAAATAATTTCGTTCTACTATGCCTTACAGGGAACAAGCCCACTGGCCATTAGTGTGTCTCAAACCCAGCCCATAGGCCATGGGCTGGCCCTGTTTGTCAGCCGTAGAACATTTCCATAGCGGGCTTGACATGGGCTGGCCCTGCCTGTTTGTCAGCCCTATAACATTTCCATAGTTGGCTTAACACCATTATTGAGTCTTGCTTGTCCATTTCATAAGTCCAGACCCTAATTACCAAAGAATAGGAAGTTTATATGTATCAATCTCTGATTCTGCAGCCATAAAAAGGGCATTATCAGAAAAGCATTCAAACAGGCAGCCCTCATACAATGAACCTAAATGCGGGTAATACAATGAATTCTCACAGAAAATGGACGAAAACAAAGGAAGAAACAATTATATGCTTGAAACAGGAAACAGGACCTGAATTCTAAACAAACTCATCTGAAAAAAGGATATTTGAGAGAATGGAACATACATTGGTTATAATAACTAAATCAATGCTGAAAATAAACAATATTTAGTTCCTAGGAATGAGTATCAGGTTTTAGATGAAAAAGATAGAAACAGCGAAACAAAACAAAACACTACAGTCTCTAAAACGCCTCAAGGATAAATAGAATCATGATAAATACAACTCAGGCCTTACTTGGCTTTTTCATCACTGTAAACAGGTTCAAATTTAGCAGATGTTTTCCCCTGCAACAAGGAATTACCATGAAATATTTTTCCAACATCAGATAAGATCGCCAGCAAACATGACCCAATCATTTAACTGCAACAATACTGGTTCTAGATTCACATAAAATGATGACAATGGCAATAGTTTATTCCCAAGAATCCAAGGATGTCAAGACATGTTTAGCATGAGATTCCACATACTTCAAGATAATTGAATGTAGTTTGATCAGCAGGAACAACACCATTCTTTCCACCAGCTTCAATGACCATATTGCACAATGTCATCCGCTCTTCCATCTATCAAGTAGATTCAAGTACACAGTTACAATAGATTAAAATAAATGAACCAAGTAAATAACATTTAAACAACCAAAAACCACTTTAGCCAGATGTTAATGAGAAGCCCACTAGAACACATACGCTCAAACTTTCAACAGTAGAACCAGTGAACTCCATGGATTTATATGTTGCACCAGCCACAGTAATTTCACCAATGATCTGCAAATGAAGCAACCACATTCTCAAGATTATAACTTACAGTGATTCTAAACTATACACTAACATAGAAAAGGATTAATGATTTTAAGGGTCGCTGAAATAGAACATCTGATGTAGTCGCTGAAATAGAACATCTGATGTGAACAAGAATCAACAATGCCTGTGAAGGGCAAACTGTGAAATAAAATATTAATTGAAAATGAGAAAGCAATAACACAATAAACTTAAAACAGCAACTCTTTACTTGAAGAATTAAATCCTTGGCAAGAAGGTAGTCAGGCATTTCACCATCCATGACAAACCTCAGAGTTGGTGGCACCTGCACTTCCACAAATCAAGAGTACTATAATTGGCAATTCTTGATTTCCAACCTCAAAGGAGCCAAGAAAAAAATTCAATCGGCAGATGCAGTAGTCATCATTTTTCAGTATATTAAATTCAATCACTGTCAACATGGTGCGTGACATAGAAAATACACAAAATACACAAAAATAAGAAAAAATTAGCACATCAAGCTCACTGTAAGACACTAAAGTGGCTCACCTTAAGCAGAACTTTCCCAGTTCCCATTACAAAACCAGCATCAGTGTTTCCAATACCTGTAGCAAACTGCCCAAATGCTCCAGCATTACATGTATGTGAATCTGTTCCAAGCAGGACCTGAATGGGAGATGAAGGACTTCAGGACATGGTCTAGAGAAACCTTCCACTTAGTCACTGACCAATATTATGAATAAAGAAAAAAAGCATACCTCACCAGGCCTACAGTGTCCCTCTTGAGCAAGAGCAATATGGCATACACCTTTATAATCTGGGTTTGCCTGTAGGAAAGGGCATGTTCTTTAAAAAAGGAGCCATTAACCAAGCTAAGCTTTAAGCAATAAGATTTCCAAATCAACCATTTAATACATCTAAAAAGCTAAGGCTTTTATTCTCCAAGAGTTGAGATGACATGATATGGAAAACAGAATTGCATACCCTAAAGTTACTGCGATCATTTATATCATAGAAGTATTTAATATTCTGCTCCACTGAGAAGTCCCTCAAGATATCCACATTTCGGTTGGCAAGTTCATCATTTGTAAAGATATAGTGATCCGGTATAATTACAATCTTCTCACGATCCCAAACCTAGTGCTCAGAAAAGAAGCATGTCAAACTCAACTCAAAAGTGACAAGGACAGATGTTATAGTTAATTGATCTTTAACAGCATTTCATGCTGGTACAAACATAAACTATAGATATAGACATGTTTGTGCATATAGTTATGTTCATTTAATGTACTATACAAATATTGAATAATCTCATATTAAAGGATCATGAATGTGATTTCGCAATCATGGTAGGGGACAGATTATTCAAAGAGAAGAGGAAGCAACATCAGACATTGGCGGTTTCCTCTGAGAAATGTACACGCATGGTACACTGGTTAGGCCTTCTCTATGCAGTACTAAATTCAAGACGATGCCTACTAACAAGATAATATGAGCCGAGAAAAGTTTCTTTAAAACTAACATAAAAAAGATGATAGTTGATCTGTTCAAGGCCATGCACCTCGACCTAATGGTTCCCACCCACGCTTTTCCAAGTGTGGGATATGACTAATGGTGAACTTTCAAAAAATTATTGAGTTCACAAGTCAAGCCAATAGGGTAGGTGGGACACCTACATAGTTTATCACGCTCTTCTCTAACAGCTAATGGATTGTGGACCTCAGGGACATCATACACTTAGGCCTTCCCTATGCAATGCTAAATTCAAGGTGATACCTGCTAGCAAGATAATATAAGCTGACAAACCTTTCTTTACTACGAACATAAAAACAATGATAGTTGGTTTGGTCAAGGTCATGAGCCAAGACCCAGCAGGTCCTAGCACCCTTTTCGAAGTATGGGACATGACTAATGGTGAAAACTAAAAAATTTACTGAGTTCCAAAGTCAAGCCAATATGGTTGGTGGGGCACCTACATAGTTTATCATGATCTTCCCAAACAGTAATAGATTGTGGAACTCAGGGATTTCAGTCCTATAGCTTAGTGGGGAGTCTGAATGAAAGACATCATAACACAGAGGTGAAGTAATAAATTGGAGGCAACGGTTGGGCCCTAAGGGGTAGGAAAATCCTTGATGGATGAGATCAAAAATTCTAAATATAGATATATGGGTGCAGCATTTCAGTTAAGGACCTGGTTTCTATGCAGCCAAGCCCACAAATGTAGAAATGCGAGCCTATTAATAAATCTATTTTTGAGATGGATTTTTGGGCTTAATTTTTAAGGACATGTAATCGCTAACATGGAGATCATGAATATGAAAAAATAAGTAAATTTTAAAAACTAAAAATAATAATTCTAGTAAGAAAACATTTGGAACGTTAGTTTCCATTGTTTTTAGATGGACCACCTACTTGCATCCATCTTAATGCTTTACACTTTTTGGACCACATATGTAGTCATGTGGTCCAGCCTGCATGAAACAATTTTCCTTCAGTTAAATATGGTACTTTTCGATAAGATTGAGCTAGCTAATATTTTAGGAATAGGTGAATCCAGTGGATGAATGCCGGCATGTCCATAATATTTTTCTTATCATGATCAATTGGACCCAAAAAGGGTCACTCAAGTCTTCAAATGTCTAGAGGCTTCAACCAAGAAGATCCTTAACATTCATTCACGTTTGTGTTGGAGTGGAATTTCCATAAATGATAATCATGGGAACAGGTAGATTGGAACCACATGGAATTTGAACTCAATGCATTGTTTTTGCATTACAAACCGCATCTCTGCCCCTAGGGTGGTTAATATAGTGGCAAGTCGTTCAGAAATAAAAAGAAATAGGGTTGGAAGTAATGAAGCATGGAATTTTATACCACCTAGCTCTGTTCTCCTTCAGAATTATCACTTGTAAATTTGAACATGGTGATCACCAAATTCTGATAAGGAAAGGAAACTAAACAACAATGATGAAGACCATGTCTATGAATTTGCTAATAGGAATGACAACGATAACACAGATGGTGATCAGGATGACAATGATACTTACATCAGGAACAAATTCTCTATGGTGATATCAATGGCGAATATGGATGACAAAAATACAATGGCACGAAAGTTGATTTATTAAAAAATAGAATAGCTCAGTCTTATGTGCCCCTATATTCATTGAGTGTATCATATTACAACTTAGTGATTTGGTAGAACTACATTCAACTAAGGCACACATATTCAAGGAAATAACACAATGCTCTTAGATAAATAGCATTGTTCCAAAAGGCGGACTGCCCAGCGCCTAGACAGTCCGGAGGGCCTGGGTAAAAATAGGCCCTGAGCAGCCATCCAAGATGGAAATGCCCTTCATTGAGAGGCAATTTTGGGTTGTTTTATAAAACTAAGAGGCAAAAATGTGGGGTTTAAGTTTATTTCAAACCTAATCTCCATTAGAGCCCATTTTTAAGAGAGAAACTGAGAAATTGACGTAAACATCACCTATTGAGATTAGATTTAGTTTTGGAGGTTTTATAGAAGATTTTGAGATTAGAAAGCATCTCAATGGTGGAAGTTTGGAGATAGCGCGAAGTGAAAAAAATTATTTTTTAGATTGTTTGTATTATTTTGAGATGTCTTCTTCAAGATCTAATAGAAGTAGTGATCCGGGTTGGAAATATGGCTACAACCCGAATCCTTTGAATAAAACTTGCATAAGATGCAATTATTGTGTAAATGATACAAATGGGGCATAAACCCGTTTAAGAAACATATTTCCGGTATCAAGGGGGATGTTGCCCCATGTAAAAAAGTTCTTCATATGATTAGAGAGGAGATAAAAACTCATATGAGTATTGTAAAAAAGAAAAAAGAGGAGAGAGAGAGAGACATCAATAGAAAATTTGAGGTCTAGGTTTCGGGTCAATTTTGAAGATGATGAAGGATGGGTGTGAAGAGATGGAACAACTTGCTATATCCAAGGCTAGGGGTAAGGGAAAGGGAGTTGTAATTAGTTCTACGAGTTAGGGGCCTAAAAGGCCTCAAGCTAGAGGGCCTATGGATAGTTTTTTGCCTCAGCTGGACCCTAAGGTTGCAGGACAGAAAACAAAGAAACAAAGAACTATTGAGAATAGAATCAAGAAGGAAGAGACAGATAGAGTTGCACAGTACATTGCTAAATGGTTTCATGAGACAAGCATTCCTTTCAATGCCGCTCACCTAAGCAGTTTCTACACCTTGGTAGAGGCAATTGGCCAATTTGGGCCTAGGATGAAGCCCCCAACTTAGGATCTAGGTAATAATATTCTTAAATTCCTCAAGTTCAAGTTTCATTCCATGTTTGTTGTTTGTTTTCCATAATCTATAGTTCATATATAGTTAACAATTGTAATTCATAATCAATTTGCATCTAAACAGTGGAGCCAACATGGGTGTAGCGCTCCAAATTTACAAAAGTTGGCCATTTGGATCTTGAGACTAACCACTACCTCATCCGGCTGTGAGCGGATTTGAAGTAAATTTGAGATCTTAATTTAGTTTACAAATTACAATATACTAATTTGTATTAGTACTTTAGTAGTTACTAGTTACTTAGTTAGTAATTACTGATCACTATGTCAATTGTAAATTTGTAGTTTTGTAGTATTATATTAGATATTCAAACAAAGAGAAGGAACATGCTTGAATCAAAGAGGCTTAATGACCTAGACTATGCAAAGTATAATCGATACTTGAAGGAGAGGATTGCTAAGGGAGATAAGAGAAACCCCCTTAGATAAAAAAACATGGATAATGCTATGGAGTGGTTGGTTGATGATGATGAGGTCGAGGGGCATAAAGGATTGACATGAGATATGGTCATGAAGGCCTTAGGAACAGCAGTCGGCCCTCCTAGGGCTAGAAGATCTAATAGATCTTCTTCCCAGAGGATGAGGGTGGAGGAGGATGAGGGTGGAAGCAGAGGCAGATCCAGAAAAGACAGAGGAAGACGACTATTATGTTGAGGAGGGAGACAATTTTGATGATGATGGCCTCGACTCCGAGGCATATGATGCAAATGCAGCTGACCCTGCTTTTTTTAATGATGAGTGATGATTGAAGACTCTTTTGAGTCTTCAAGTCTATGCTTCTTTCATTTTTAATTTCCTCCTCTTGGTTGTGTATTGTGGTTTGTAAATTTTTAAGTTTTAACTATGTGAGAACTATAAATATGGACTTATAAAGTCTGGATGAGTGTATGTGTAATTGTGGACTATAGACATTTGATGTGCCATGTGCCCCTAAATCTTATGTGTTATTGCTTATTTTCTTACTCATATGTGTTATTTCTTATTTTCTTTCATTTTCTTGATGATGAATCGATGTCTTGTTATGTTGCTATCTTGAATTATGGACTAAAATATGTCTAGGTATGTATTTTTTAATGTCTCAATTTGAAATGGGAATTATGGACTAAAATATGTATCAATATGTATTTTTCAATTTTTCACATAATATCTTATCGTAAAACGAACTTTTTATTCTATTGGGAGGCCTAGGTCTTGGGCGCCAGCGCCCACCTAGGTTCTGTTGAGGAGCTGGTAGCCTAGACCCCCAGCCGCCTAGGCGCCGCCGGCCACCTTTTGTAACATTGATAACTAGCATACTTCTTTGAGATTATACTCATAGTTTTGATCCTTTGTCCATGAATATCACATAGGGCTCATAATTTTGATCCTTTGTCCATGAGTATCGCATAGGGTTAATGAGTTCTCATTTCATGGTCATGTTAGCCCATTAAATGAATGCATACCAACACTAGAATTTGAGAAACTATACAAGTAAGAACCAAAATTTCCTGCAGAAACCAAAAACCGAAATAAAAGCTCCATACCTTTGCATTCTCACCAAATTCTCTCTTGAAAATACCAATAGTCCCAGGCCCGCACACATCATGGGTCATCAGAATATCAACATTCACCCATACATTTTCACCAGTATCCAAATTTGACCTCTCTGAAGCCCTTGCCAGTATCTTCTCCGTCATAGTCATGGCCTGCTTCACCTGAGAATCCAAGGTCAAATAAAAATAAGCTAGAGAGACAAACACAGATGAGAGAGAAACCCACAGAGACGGAAAAGCAAATAAGAGAAAACCCACCAAACCAGTGGTGGATGGTGGTCGTTGTGGCTGAGGTGGAGCCATGACAGCACGAATAGAAGGCCGGTACTCTTTCTTGTTGACATGGATCGAATCAGGGAGGAATCCAGAGAGAGAAGCAGCAGAAGAGGATGAAGAAAGGAGCTTCCTCTGAAATCACACATATAAACGGACTCAGTGTCAATAAAGAAATCATAAATCATAGCTTTCTCTTAGAGAGAGGAAATAGAAAGAGAGAGAACGAGAGTACGTTGTTAATAAAAGGTGTAGAAGTGGAAGCCATAACAGCTGAATTCATGATGGAAAGGAAGAGCAAGATTTCCAGCAACTCTGTAATGAAGATGGGTTTTCGTTTCTCGCTCTTTTACTATCCCTTCCCTCAAAATGAAAAAGTTTATATAAGGTTGCAGAGATTGACCTCAAAATTTGTCAGGAAATTGTTTTTATAGTGCAGAGATTGACATAAAAAATCCATCATAAATATTGTTTGGATGTTGGAAAACCTTCTAACAGATTATCTGAACGGTTTATCGATTTGAACCATTTTAAAAAAGGTGCGGTTTCCTTAAGGTTGCAACCTTAAACAATCCATTTAAGGAGCACTTTCAAAGTTTATCACGATAATATATAGTTTTGATGTAAAATATTTTTAATATTATCTCAAAATTTATTTTCAAATTTATAGTTTTGATGTAAAATATTCTTAATATTATCTCAAAATCTATTTTCAAATTTAAGTATAAAATTTTAAATCCCAAAAATGACTAAAATTAAGTAGATTTATAAACATATCAAAACCTTGAAAATGGGATTGTCTATATAATGTGCTGTAAAACGAGTCATTTTTGGGACTCAAAATCTTTTCTTTTTTCATAGTCATTCATCTCAATGTCGAGAAAATTAAAAGAACCTTTACCGATTTTTGAGGTGCATCCGTAGTTCGAAATTTTAATATTGCAACTTTATATAGACTTTTCCCTTTTTAAAATTTAAAATTTTATAATTAAAAATAAAAATATATTTTCAAGCCATCCTAAAATTCTTTTATACCAAAATTATATTTATAACAATATTTAGAGATACGTCCTAATTTTAAGATTGCAACCTTATCTCTCTGGATGCATAGTACACCAATTTGAGTTACCCCATAAAATATGACCCAGTTTGGAAAAAAAAATTTATATGAAATTTTGGGATGAGTATTTTTTGTTCTGAGGATTTTGCTTTCCCTCAAAAATCAATTTCTCTGGTCAGCTCACTATAGTTTTTAGGGAAAATGATCTAATATCTCACAAATTTTTTAATTATAAAATCTTTTTCTTTTTTTAATATACGTATTGCCTGTTTTTTCAGTATATTTTATTTATACCTAAAATGCCCTCACCACAAATCTTTTAGAACCATAATGCTCCAATTCTCAAAGCAGCGAAATGGCGCTTGCATGGTAATTCCACCCCTATCGATAGCATGAGCATTTTAGGTATAGAATGAAAATGAAAAAAAAATACGTACGCACATAAATTATAAAAAGGAAAAATTACATAAATATCTGTTATACTTTGCGTTATTACGGATGTACCAAATAGTTTATGTTATTACATGTATGTTTTCTTTTACTTTTTATATCATAATTTTTTTAAAAAGATGACTTTACCCTTTTTTAGATGTTGAATAATCGAATTGGAAGGTTTTTTGGATGTTCAACATCCGAAAATAGGCCAAAAATTTAACGTTTACATTCCTATTTCTGGTGTTGAACATCCGAATTGAAGGGTTTTTCGGATGTTCAACATCTTCGAATGTTGGACATCCGAAATATGACTTTGAATTTTCAGAAAATCTCTGGAATTTCGCAATCATTTTCAGATGATGAACATCAAAAAATATGACATTTTCGGATGTCTAACATCCGAAAATGTGATATTTTTCAGACATGCAACATCCAAAACCATTTTCACAAGGAATACAACATAACCCTCAATTCAGATATTCAACACCTGAAAAATGGGAATGTGAACGTTAAACTTTAGGCCTATTTTCGGATGTTGACTATCTGAAAAACCCTCTAATTCGGTTGTTCAACATCCAAAAAAAGGTAAAATCGTCTTTTTAAAAAAATTACATTATAAAAGATAAAAAAAAGACAAACATGTAATAATGGAAACTATTTAGTAAATCAATAATAATGCAAAGTATACCAGATATTTATGTAATTTTCTCTTATAAAAAGTAAGTCTTTTTATAATGGAAAATTGTTTCATGCAAATGAGATTGCATTTCTACAATAAGTAGCCCCATGTTATAAAGCATCCATCCTAAAAATGGATGCAAATAGGTGGTCCATCCAAAAATAATTGAAACTAACGGGTTAAATGTTTTTTCATGAAAATATTATTTTTATTTTTAAAATTGTATTTACTTTTTTATATTTATGATCTCCATGTTAGAGATTAGATGACCTAAAAAATTGGGTCCGAAAATCCATCTCAAAAATAGATTTTTAAGGGTCTATTCATTTTTACATAGACTCATATAAATCGTGTTCTTTTGTAATTTCTAAAGGGAAAGGTTTCTATACTTCCCCCATAGCATAGAAGATATATGCTTCCCCTACCATCTAACCATTCAATTTTGTTCAAGAGTGCTACTCACCGTTTGATCTTAGATCCGACGTCTCAAAGTATTTTATTTTTAGTGTTTTTAATACAAATTGTATGAATATGAAATTTCGTAAGTGTCATCTTCTCATTGGGGCGCACCTATAAAAAGTATTAAAAATAATTTTTGATAAAATATAATGATCAAAATACCCATTGAAACTTTCAAAGGTATTTTGGTCATTTTATTTTATTGAAAATATTTTTTTATATTTTTTGCCAGTGCAAGTTTAATAGAGGATTGGACCTACAAAATTTGGTGTTAAAATAGTTTGTAGAAAAACATAAAAAATAAAATAGTGTAGAGACATGACATTGTGATTTGGGCAATCTTAGCCCTCCATTCAAATGGACGGTTGGATAAGGAGAAGTATATAAGTTATGTTGTAGGGGAAGCATAAAGCTTGCCCATTTTTAAAAATTAGAAGGATGTTAGTGATAAATATATAGTTCATTTCATGTATGATTGATTGAATTGCATTTTTAAGAGGAAGTGGGTCACTAGGTTTTATGGTTTTACCACTATTCTATCAACTTTCTAGGAGATTTGAGATAAATAAAAAATAATTAAATAAATAAATGAGCAATTCTTACCTAATTTGTATCTTATTTCTCTTAGTTTTTAAATGCTTTTTGGAGGCCTAGTAGAATAGTTAATCTAAATAAGAAGATTGTTTTTATTGGAAATTTTAGAATCCGCTTGAGAATCACTAGATGGCTATTTAAAAGAAATAAAAATTAACATTTTAATTTTTAAAATACTTGGATCTCAATGTCAAAAATTGGACGATCCCTGCTCAATCTGGTGACGTTATTTTTTTGGGTTGTACGGATAAGCCGTTTGAAACTTTTTTTTTGGGTGCATACATACATATTAGAGTGAATTTTGTGTTAAGGAGTTATTGGAAATAATGCATCATGTAATGCATTTTCTTGACCGTCAATTTTCAAGTGTTTATAGGTTTATAATTAGAAATAAAAATAAATTTTCAAGCCCTCACAAAATTTTTCAATATTGACACAATTTGAAGGTGTCCTACTTTGATTGTTTAGGGCCCCAGCCTTGTACAAACCACACCACTTATTTATACTCTCCTAATAAATAATTACTGCCTCATGTCGCTTTCTAATTGGTTGGGGGTTTTAGGGTTCTCAAGGCACTACCTATGAGATCTTGGTGGTTTCACCAACTCATTTACTAACATGGGACTCTTTCAGTCGTAATGAAATCTTTTGTGCTCTTAAACATCCTTCTCTAATTTATTGTACTGTGATGCGATAATTTTTTATTTATTAATTTATTTTAATATTAGTGTGAATTTTTTTTTTAATAAGAAATCATTATATACGGTGCCACCCATGTATTAAATGTTAGGGATCGTATACAATGAAACCATTTATCTTTGATACAGGGAGATCACAACTACTTACAACCATCCAATATAATATTTGATAGCTTGGATGTGTCACAAAGTTCGAGAAAGTATTTTTTGAAGTTTGAGCTTGGTCAATAGAATAAATGCAGCCATCAAATTTGATATCTAATAGTCAAGATTAATTGTGATCACCATGTACCAAAGATAAATGGACTCGTTGTATAGTTTTTACTAAATGTAAACATACCGATCGAGATAACTTTCTTCATAATGTTATAAGTTAGTCCTTGAGCATCTAATACTGTTCGGATGATTCAAAGAGTTTTATTTTTAATTCTTTTTAACATATAATTTTAATGTGAAATTTGAGGCATTTTTTCTTCACAAGGGCGCAACTAATAAAAATTGGAAGAATAAAAATATAATAAGAATAATTATCAAAATGCCCCTATAACTTGTAGTGCATTTTGGTCATTTTGAATTATGAGGAATATTGTTTTTTTATTTTGTTGGATGCCCCCTTGCAAGAAGTAATTATGCCTTAATTTTCATGTCAAGATGATTTGTTAAAAAAATACACTTCAATCGAAGTTTATGAGCAAATCTAGGGGACATTTTTAGAAACCTTTCTTTGATTGTAGCTCTAAATTAGTTAAATTAATAAATGAGATAGAGATTATGAAAAATTATTTCCACAAGTGAATTAATCTCAGAAAGAGATCTACCCCTCTGTGCATTGCCGACTTCAACTGATCAAATGCACTAAAACTGATAACAAATGAAAAATGAAACAAAGAAAAATAAATGCAAATGAGATAATAAATGTGAGATCAAACAAATGATAGTTTCTTGTTGGAAGTCAGGCCAACAGGCTCGGCACCTGAGGTAGAGCACAAATCATACCACTTTCTTATACGTGTAAATCGCTCTGATCACCTCAAATATTTGGGTTAGACTTTGGAGTAAAAGGCTACTGAGAGCATATGCCTCTAAGCATAGGATTAAACTTCTTCTTTTTTTTTTACAAATGTTATGAGCTTTCATGTAAGAAATTCTTCAAGAGCATGGGTTACAAAAGAGTTACATTAATGCGTCAAAAGACATGAAGCGAGTGAAGAGAAACACCATTTTTAGCCAGACCATCAACACTGCTATTGGCTTCTCTAAAGATGTGACCAAATGAGATCTTAAGGTTAGGAAGAGCATAAAGATCCTGAATTTTAATTGAATGAGTAAATAAGGACTACATAGCTCTTTGTTCTCTGTTGCACCATTTGATTACATTTCAAAGAATCTGCTTCAACAAAGATATCTCCACGGTATTCCTTATCAAGCCTTATCTGTAGTCCTTGCAACAATGCACACATTTCAGCTTGATT